CCGTCTGAAGTCAACTCTTAGAAAGTTGTGTTGTGATCATCCACAAGATTGAGACAGCTATATTCCAGTTGTTCTTTTTTTTGCATATAGAGAGATTCCGAACGACTCAGATTTCACATTTCGAACTTCTCTACGAGCGACAAGTTAGAGGTTAACTATCTTACATGAAGTTGGGACCAATAATACCATAGACTGTGATATTAAAACTACATATCAATATGTCTTAGACTTGAGGTTACGCCTAGAAGAGAGAACAAAACCAGCTACTTCTCAGACAGAAATTAGTAGTCAATACTATAAAGCTTACTTTGATTTAAAATATAAAATTCGTAAATTAAATGCTGATAAGGTACTTGTTCTCCTCCCTTCAAATTGAAATTGATAATGCAATGGCATGGACCATATAGTGTGTGCTGATTGCTGAGATAATGATGATTACTATATCAGAGGAAAATCAAAATTATACCATAGTATGTTGAAGAAGTACTTTCGTCGTGGTGATCTTTCTGATGAAAATGTGTATTTGGAAGAGGAGGCTAATGACTCATATACTGTCGACAAACATGCTGCAATTTGAAATGAAGTGAAAAGTTTAGTATCTGAGTTTCCAGATGTATTCTCAAACAAACCTGGATTTACCACTATTGTGGAACATGTGATTAAGCTAGAAAGTAGTCTGTAGAAAGCCATATCCTATTCCTCATAATCTTGTTGCTGTACCTAATAAGGAAATGGAGTGAATGCTTGATTTGAAATTCATAGAACCATCCGCATTCCCTTATTATTCTCCAATGGTTAAGAAATCTGATCAAATTTGGCGATTTTGTATTGATATCAGAGCTATCAGTGATATCATTGACTTTGATTGTGAACCAGTACCCACAACTGAGAATGCTCTCGGTAATTTTACTAATGAACAGTATTTTTCTGAGTTGGACCTTACTAAAGGATACTGGCAAATTCCTTTGGCTAAAGAATCCAAAATATACACAGGTATGCAACTTGAAGAGCTAATGGTTTTGAAGGACTTACTAACAGATTATTTTGATTATGTTGTGCATAGTTCTACCTGGTCTGACCATCTAATGAATCTGAAAACTTCTGAAGTTACATTTGCACGGATTGGCAGCTGGCCTAAACAAGTGCTACTTCGGGTTTTCGAAAATGAAGCATCTTGGTGTATCTTGGTACTCGGAGACAATTTCAACCTTTGGATGATAAGATTCAAGCTATCAATTCTATGTCTCTCCCTGGCATCTTTTCTTGTGGTTACAGGAAATGCGACACCTCATGAAACAGGAATCGAGCAGACGGCTAACTTTGAGTTTGCGAGATGCATTCCTCCTACTTCGGATATTTCATGCATATTCATACTTATATTGGACATCTATAACACCGTACTACCCACCATAAGATATCAAAAGCCATCTTAGATAGCATATTCCAAAATACTGTGTACCTGTCGGAAAAATAACCAGTACAGTAAAATAGCAAGCCGTCAACCGCGATCATTCCCATTACGTCACAGAAATGGGCGGAGCTTAGATGCCTGTCTCGCCTCCAATCACGAAACAGCTTTTGGTGTCTCGGCGCGTCTCGCGACACCCTAATTGCCACCGGAAAAGATGACTTTAGAAAGAATTAAGATCTTTTATTGGTTTCTTTCTGTAGAAGATTCATTTCAGATTTTACAATTATAGTAAATCCCACGAACAGTTTGTTGAAGAAGAAAAGCTGTAATAATCTCAAGTGGATTCTCAGGTTGGTAGTGTTCAATGTCAGTTTCAGATTGCTGGTTTTTACTCACACAAATATGCGTGGATTAGCGGAATTTCTGTAACCAGTAGTTATCCGCATTTTTTTCAATTCCCGCAAAGGATCCAGGTTGTTATAATTGATCTTCATCACACTGGGATTGGATATATATACACGTATCGATGCTTCTCAGTTTATTTTAAAATCTACCATCATTCCTTTAAATGGGAATTAAAAAAAGAAAAGTATGAAATAGAAAGGAAATGGGAATGCAGGTAGGTACTAAACCAGTCTCAAAACAGCTCCAGACTGTCATGTGGACCTGGCTTGCCTCTCGCCCCCTCCCTACTCGGGGCAAGGATGGTACTCATGATCCTTGTTGCAGCACAGGGGCTGCATGGTCTGGTCGCCGGTCCACTCCCAGGGGCCGTCGCAGAGCTCCGAATAGGCGTACACCTGTCAGTGTATAAAATTTGTTAGCGAAGGAATTCTCTCTCTCTCTCTCTCTCTCTCTCTCTCTCTCTCTCTCTCTCTCTCTCTATATATATATTATATATATATATATATATATATATATATATATATATATACATATTTATACAAGGTGAAAGTATAAATATGACATATGAAAAGAGGCAAGTACATGCTCGAGGCTCCGTTTGTTAGAATGCATGTCAAATGCGCCATATGGGCGTTACCCCATCTTCTCTCTCTAAATTTAAGCACAACAGTAGGCCTGCATTTTCTTCCGGAGTAGAATCCCTATTCTTTACTGGCTCTACACCTCGCTATAAGTAAGGTGATAATAAAAAAAGCAATTTCTAATCATAGGGAAACCCAAGTACAGGAGTGAATCACTCACATATTCGTTGCTGACTGGCCTATTGGACGCCGTGCACAAGATCTGACCGACGGGCGTCACGCCGTCGGAGGTAATGAACTCCAAGTCTCCTCCTCCAGACAGCTCCTCGAACTCCTTGAAGCAGCGGTTTCGGCATTTGGTGTGCTGGTCACAGCTGCGGGAAAGGCGTCGGTGAGGAAATGCTGTTTCGTTCGAGTTTTGAATAGTGAGCAGTATGGGAAGGAAAGTCGAAGAACGGAAGGCAAGAAGGGGAGAAAGTGCTACATATACGTCAGCTGAAGATCTTTCATTATTAGAGCATAAAGTAGTGAATTTCTTTCTTGGACTCAATAAATCCTTTTTCATTTAAAATGTATTCATTCCGAAAATAAGAGATTAGCAAAAAAGAAAGAAAGAAAAAAACTGACCCGCCAACGTCGATGGCAGGCAGCTCGTACAGCATCTTCTCGACAGAGTCAAGAGTGATGAAGGCGCCGCACCTGCAGTTGGCCGGATCCTGCGCCGTTGCACTGTGCAGCAGACAATGGTGGAGTGAATACAGTGCCCAGTGGCAAGTTAATTCAAGACAAAGTTCAGAATCAATTACCTATACACACTCTTATGTATGTATTTATATAAATCCCAATAGTAACTAATCTAGCTATCTATCCATTTATATATGTATGTATGTTAGAGTGTATAATGTTAACAAATGACACATATCAATGAGAATACATTAATCAGGTAACTTAACCATATAAAGGAATAATCACGTGAGTTAAGTACAAGCAGTAATCACAAAATACTTACACGGCCACAACCAGAGCGAGAACAAGCAAACGGAACATCTTGCAACCTGCAGGGAAGAACAGTCTGGTTAACATTCTTTAAAACGCACACTTCAGTCCCGGAGTCAGAAATAAAATATCAGCGCAACCGTTGATTTCATGTGCAAACACATACCTTTTTTTTGCACTGTATTGGCACATTCAGTTGACTGTTCATGTGCAAGCATACTTATTGCAAATTTTCTCAACAGCCAGTTCTTACCTTGAAACAATTCCTCTGGAACTG